TGTTATCTCAGATAGGCTTTTTGCCAAACTGTCACCAACATTTTTTTTAAAAAATCAGATATTTGATTAAGCATATTTTTCTGCCTATTTTCAGTTCACACGAGAGATGTTTGTTTGAGAGAGGAATGAAAATAATAGAAAAATTAGACTTTTGGATTACTTATGGGCCTGCATTACCTTTCTTATTGTGATCTTTGTCCCATGACAACAGATAACAAAAGCTGGCTGCAATTGACATATTAAGGTTTATTTAGGCAAATGGAAGGACAGTCAAACATTAGGTTTTCTTTCTAAGTAGTAAGAGCAAATTGCCAATCAGATAAATACAGTACCCTTTGAATTTTAAAGAAAATTTAAAGCAACCCATGGAAAACCGTCTATACTGTATGGACTTAGCTTTACATCATTTAATTTTCCATAAAAAGGAATTTAAAAAGATGCATAATCTTTAATGTCTCAGCATTCTTTCTGATGTTTCTCTTTCATGAAAATGGTTTTTAAAAGACTTTCATATAATTAAATCTAATCTTTATTTTATTTTGGAAGATCAAAATAGTACAGGGTGGGTGATAAAACATCCAAGTCATCGACAAGTGAGCCATATATTTTCAACCTACTTGACATAAAAAATGATTATATATTTGGAGGCTGGGCTACAGTAAAATATGATATGGATAGTATGTATGTACAAATAGTATGGGTTCTGGCTTCCGGCTGCTACTTCCTAGCTGGGTGATACTGTATGCATCACTTAACCAATCATCGCCTCCATTTTTTTCCATAAAATGGGAATGATCATAGTGCCTGCTAGGACATATAAGTACTTAAAGGAATCCTCAAAATATCACAAATACTTGAAAAACATGCTAGTTATTTTGACAGCCTAAAAGACTATTAAATGATAGAATAGCAAGACTAAATTAAGAAGTTAAAAATAGTTGTTAGCATTATGGCCTGGTAAGATTCAAAAAATATCCTATTTAGTTACAAATTACTACTACAGAGATGGACTGAGATGTGAAGAATTTAAAATATAGTCAACATCTAATATTTGTGTTTGCTTTTTTAACAGGCAAATTAAAACATTGGCAAGTGCCTTTTAATTTAATTTTTAATTCTTATCCCTTTGGAAATTACACATGAAATATTCATTTATCTTCCATTTCAGTTTGGTAATAGATGCCTGGCAATTAAGAATTTGATATAGTAAAAGATAAATGTATGAAGCCTGCTTTGCAGGAATTGTGTTAATACATATTACTCTTTGGAAAGAAATGAAGCAATCTTTAATGTTTTTAGCACCTTGGAAATGCCAATGTGCCTCTACTCTCCTCAATAAAATTGCTGACATTGAAAACTCCGTCTTAATTTTATTGTTCAAACACAAAATACTAAACACTTGAAAGGCTCAAAGCTTATTGATAGTCATTGTGTTAATGTCGCTGATTCGATCTTGATAATTCTAAGTCTTCCTAAGACTGACCTTTGTTGTTGTGAGATACTGGTAATTAGGAATTCATGGTGGATTTAACATTCCAATTTTGATATCTACAATGACAAGTTTTCTCATTTTCAAAATGATCACCTTTTTTTTAGCTAAAGACAAATTTGCACACATATACAAATAAAAAGATATGTAATTTGCAAGTGCAGAATAGCATAAAACTAGTATTAGCAATGAGAAAGTGATTTAACTTCTAAAATTGATGTTATCAAAAGAGTAATTGAAATGTCAATTAGTCTTAAGTTTTTTCATTGCTGTCTTATGCACTGTAATTAGTATTACAGATATTTAAATGACATATTTTAATTAACAAAATACTAAAATGAGTAATTGGCAATGTATTAGAGCAAAAACTAAAAGATGTGATTTTTGTTCAAGGCATTTGTCCTTTCAAAGAAAGACTTGGCTATTATATTAAAATAATAGGTGGTGCTTTGAAATAAATTCAATAATTCAAGAATACCAATAAAAGACTACATTTCTTGGGCATGATTTCTGTTCATTATGATTTTTTCTTTATGGCTAAAATTGTACCAACTTACTGGGATCATACTCATTATCTTATGGTAGCCAGTAACAGTGACAGAAAACTTTATTTTATTGAATAATTTTAAATGAGATGATATATAGGACATAATAATGCAACTGGTCTTATAGGCAATCCTGCAGTACCGGGACTGGTTTGAGAAAAACCAAAAAAGTCAGAGATGATCAAAGGATAGATTTTGTGTGTGTGTGACAGTTTCAAAAACTAAAATGGGACTCCAAAGCTAATTCTGACTTTACAAATTATTATAACTTATTGTTCAAATATTCCATAATACTTTCTTTTTATTTAAAAAATGATAGAAATAATGATAAAGAATATCAAAACAGGATAATAGGAAATTAACTTTGGTTAATATATTGCATATTGCTATTTTCAACTAGCTGCACAGATTACAAGATATAGGCATGAAAAATTTATTAAACAGTATACACAAACACACTTTTCTTTTCAATGAACTAAAAGAAATTGGTAGTGTAATTATCATGGCCATTATATATATATATATATATATATATATATATACACATGTTGTTCTTCTGAGCAGTTTCTTTCCCTTTCGTAATATCTATTGTAGATGTTTTGCTTTTGTTTTCTATTGTAGATTTTTACTATTAAGGCAGAAGTCAGCACAATTCCTGATTTGTAATTATACTACAAAACTACTGTGATAAAATCAGCATGGTACTGGCAAAAGAACAGAACTAAAGATTAATGTAACAGATTAGAAAATTCAGATACAACTGCAAACACACTTAGCTGCCTTATCTTCAACAAAAGGGACAAATATATTCACTGGAAGAAAGATAGCCTCTTTAATAAATAGTGCTCGGAAAACTGGCTTTCCACATGTCAAAGTCTAAAATCCATAGTACTTCCTTATCTGAATACAATTAAGATTACTTTTTCCAAGAATGATTATATCTCAGGTTGAACATATAAATAGAATTTATTTTCCCCAATAAATGCATTATTCTATGAGACTGTACTGTATAGATGTTGTGTTATAAATTAATGATATTAATGTTCAAATGTAGTTGATGAATGTAAGAATGTCTGTGTATTTGAATATAAATTAGAGACTTGGGAGTTCAGCTACTGAAGTTCAACTGATGTCATCTATGCAAGCATTCTGCACTACATTAATGGGCAAATTTTCTTTGCATCTTTTATACAAAAACCTCACTTTGAACTTACATTGACACTCAGATTTACTTGATTTATTTCATTAATATTCATAATTATGTAGTATTTTAGTCACTTTCTCATTGCTGCTGGGACAAATTATCCAGCTCTACATGTTAAAGCAGGAAAGGTTTTGGCTCACACTTTATAGAGATTTCAGTCATTAGGATCTGGCTCCAGGGCAGGGTGTCACAGCAGAGGCACATGGTGAAGGAGAAACAGTTTATGACACCACAGGCAGGAGGCAGTGAGCTTTTCTTCTTCTTTCTCTTTTTATTTCCTGAGGGCTACATGCCTATTGATTGGCGCCACCCGGACCCAGAGTGAGTCTTCCCCATCAGTAAATCTATCACCCACGTCCAGAACTACTACGCTGAACCAGTCATTAAAACCAACCCAATATAACACACTCACAATCTAGTCAGTCCCCAGAGGTCCTAAAATCTTTGTATGATCAAGTATCCTAAGGAAATAGCTTTAACATTTAGGAAATATTTTAAATACTCATTAAGGAATTTGAATTAATAGAAAATGAGATGAAATTTAACTGACCAAAAATGATTAAGAAAACAATTGAATGGGATTATTTCCTACCTACTTGAAATAATGCTTGATGTTTAAAAAATAGAAAGCTTCTTGTCATATTCCAAGTGTAAGAGAAAATACCAGGATTTCAGAACTTTAGATACTTTCTCCTTGCTGGAATGCCCACCAGATAAAGAAGGAAAAGTCTATTTTTGCTCACAGTTTGTAGAGGCTTCAGTTTGTAGAGAAATACTAAAAACCAGCAACACCAAAATGTTAATGGTATCTATCACTGGTGTCAAGACTACAGAGAAATATCCTTATGTTTTTCTTGTTTTTCATAATTTCTATGAATATATCTGGCTTTCATAATTGAAATTTTATACATATATAATTATTTTTATAAAAACAATCTATTGCTTTGAATAGGTGATTAAATTAGTATAATATTTAATAAATATGATTGCAAATCCTTATCTGCCCTGCTTTCATATGTTTGATTTAAACAACCCAATGAGATACATTATTAGCATCCTTGGTTATCTGAAAAAATTAAGGAATAAAAAGGTTAAATAAGTTGCTGCCATTCGCACAACTGGAATTCTAAAGTAAGATATATGGCTTTGTTCTGGAATATTCTACCACTATCATATTACATAGTCAAAAGGGATATATTTTTAAGTATAAATATGCCTAAAATATAGATGCCATTATAGATAACCATGTATTGGCCTCTCAAAAGAGATTTTTGAAACAATACTGGAACATAATTATTAAAATCATTATTGCCACCTTAAGATAAATCAGTGGCATCTGATCTCATTTTTAATATTTTGATAAGAGCTCTTGTATACCAAGGTATTAAAATGAACTGGAGATTATAGTCTAAGAAAATGAATACAATATCCATATGGTGAAAACAGCAAAACTCTGAAGCAAGAAGCCATAGAGTTAAGTAGATAAAGAAAGATGCCACCTTCATCAATAGAAAGATGCAGTTCTGTCAGGATGTCAGTCTTTCCCAACTTGGTTTACAGAGTCAACAAATTCCAATAAAACTCTTGAGAAATTGCTTTGTAGACATTGACAAACTGATTCTACAATTTATATGAAGAAACAGAAGAGAAATATATGTTTTAAATCTTGCTACCAAATTACAGTACTCAAAAGGTCGCAGTGTTGGTAAAGAATAGACAACAGGTTAGTGAAAAAGAATAGCAAGGTGAGAGATTGACTCACACAAATATAAAACATTATCTTCCAGAAAGGATCAGTGCGGTGGAAAAGGACGGTATCTTCAACAAATGGTGCTGAAACAGCTCAAAACCCTGTGCAAAAGAAAAGAAAAACAAAAATACAAAACACAGATCTTATGTGCTTCACAACAACTAAAATAAACCTCAATGAAAAATACATTTGTTTTCTATGACTCTTAGCAAAAACATAGAAGTATAAATGACCTTGGGTACAGCACTGACTATTTAGCTACAACAAAGACAAAATTCATGAAACAAAAATAAGGATTAGGTAAACTTCATTAAATTAAAACTTTTTCCACTAGGAATGACATATTATAATAGAATGAGAATATAAAGCAAAGTCTAGAACATGCCTGCAAAAGGAATAACTGATATGGGTCTCACCCAGAATATACCAGGATCTCTTAAAATTCAACAATAAAATACGAACACTTGTTATGGTTTATAACTAAACGTCCCCCAAAAGCGTTATGGGGTCAAAGGCAGGACCTCTAGAGGCTGATTAGACTACAGGGGCTTGGAGCTGATTTGCAATTAGGCGGGGCCAGGCGGGAAGTAGCCTGCCACTTGGGGTCTGACCCCAGATTACATCTCCGTTTTCTCTTTTGCCTGTCTCTGCTTCTTTTCAACCTTTCTGTGAGCACCTTCCTTCCCCACCAGGCCTTTCCATCATGCTAACTTCTAAAAAGTGAAGCAAAATTCACCTCTCTTTCTTTAAGTTGCCAGTGTCAGGTATTTTGGTCCAGCAACAAGAGAAGTAACTAAAACAACAATGAAACAACAAGGAAAACATCCAATAATAGTGTGCCTTGGTTGAAATGAGTTGAAAACTTGTGCACATAAAAACCTGCACATGGGTGTACATGGAAGTTTTAATTGTCTTTCAGGAGGTAAATAAAAATTGTAACGTGTTCTAACAATGGAAAATTATTAAGCATGTCTTGGTTACTTGTACTTTTACTTTTCTCTCATTGCTGGGACAAAATACCTGACACCCAAAATGAAGGAAAGGTTTATTTGCCTTACAGTTTTTGGAGGTTTCAGTCCATAATCAGCTGGTTCCAAGGCAGAGTGGCATGGCACTGGGGCGACACTTGAGGCAGCAGCCAGAGCAAAAGGGGAAGACAAGACTCTTCTCCTCCCTTGTAGTGTATGTAGGCCTCTCCTCAACCCCAAGGGCACAGTCCATGAATCTACAGTGACAGGTCATTACCACCTATTATGGATTAAAAAAAAAACTGGTGGTCAATACCAGCTGAATTAAATCAGCATGGTGCTGAGCATAGATGGTCCACAAGAGGAAAGTTGCCAGCATAAAGAGAGACATGGAGAAGACGGGTGGGGAGCTGTGGGTTCCTCTAAGTGTTGCTGTTTGAGCCGTTGATTCTCCTGGAGGAGCTCATCATGACTAGCTTCCCCAGCATGGGCTCGACCATTGTCATCAGAGGAGCTCTCTGATGATTTTGTTAGTGAGAGTAGCAGAAGTTCATTTTGGGGGAGCTCTGGTCCTTACATTGAGCATCACTTTCTGGCTCTGGAGGGGGAAATGCGTGCCATTTAATCTCCAGGAGAAACTCATCATGCTGGCTTTCTGGCATGTCCTTGGCTGTTCTTATTGTCAGGAGCTCTGGACTTACATGTCACTGAGGAGAGCTATGGTACTTTTCAGGACATCTCTGGTTCTTATTTTAAGCATGACTTCTCAACTCCAGCATAGAACCCTCAACCTACCAGCACAGGCCCTTCACTCCTTTGGCATAGACTGTCTAGCTTCCCCCACTGACCTTTGGGCCTCCCCAGCACAGATCTATCAGGTCCTGACCTAGATCCCCCATCTCCCAAATGAGTGTACGTTGGAGGTTTAAATAAAATGAGAAAGTGGTATGATTTTAAAAGGGCTTTAGGAAGGTCAAAACCCTTTAGCTGAGCTCAAGACTCTGAAAGCTAAGACAAAGCCTTTTCTGACCTCCCACTTCATTAGGTTCAACAACATGGTTGCGGAGACTGAGAAAAGTACAGGCCATGAGCAGGACCTTGGGAGTCACCTCAAGGCCGTCTCCAAGTAATGAGTCAAGTCAATTTAGTAGAACTGTCTTATCATGAAGACATGATAGGAGTGAGACTGTAGGAATAATTTCTGCAGGTTCAGTCTCTATCTACTTAATTGATGTTTGAGTCAAGTGTCCACAGCTGTGGCCTTATTTTGCCCTTTAAGGTATTTCTGGACTCATAGACCACTACAGGCCTCAGCCAGGACCAGTGATTCATAGAGGTGCACTTACTGTGAATCAGCTCCTGTTGCCAGCCCAGAGGCCAAGGCCTAGGACAGACTCACAGAGAAACATAGAAAGCCAATTAGTTAATTTTAAATCCTGCTCAGAGCTGCTTTGTAGTGGTCTCCCACACAGATCTGTAAAACAGACTGGCATGAATTCTTCTCATGGGCTCTAGATCTCCAGTTGGACTCATGGGAGGCACTGTCATGGGCTCTAGGATTCCATCGGGACTCATGCAGGACATTGCTGTGGGATCCAGGCCCTTGGCTGAATATTCTGAGTCTTTAGTGTTGTGGATAGATTTCCTGAACTTTCTTGTGTTTTACTCTGGGTGGCCATCATAAAATAATATTATAAATTCTGTGTCCTAATTCTAATTGTTCTCCTCACAACCCCTGACTTCACCACCCCAAATCTACATTTTAAATTACGGTTCACTGTTGGTGGTGTATGTTCTATGGGATTAGACAAATTAAGTCCAATCATTATAGTGTCATAAAGAGTAGCTTCTTTACCCTGAAAATTTTGCCCATTTATATATCTATATTTCCTACCTCTATTCCTTAGTAACCACTGATCTTGTTAATGGTTCCACGCTTTACATAATTTCTAGAATGTAGCAGAATTATATAGTTTGTAGTTCTTTCAGATTTCTTTCACTTAATGATATATATGTTTCCTTCATGACTTTTCATGACATGAGGTTACTTTTTTAGTGCTTTGTTATGGTTGATACATTGTGTTAACTTGAGAAGTTTAGAAGTTTAACTGAGAGACTCAGCAGGAAGCCAGGGTTCTTTGTAAATATCCTCATACTGTGCAAAGGAGGGCAAGGAGATTTTGTGAGTGCTACATCTGCCCTGCACAAGGGACTCCCTGTACAATATTGCTTGGTCTCATTTTGGTCCACACTATTCCTTTTTCTTTCTCCCTGTTACTAAGGCCAAATGTCTGCTATTCTTTTTAATTTAATTTATTTTTGTCTTTTCGAGACAGGGTTTCACTATACAATTCTGCTGACTTTGAACTCACTTTGTACCCAGAATGGCCTCTAACTCTCAGTAATCCTCCTGCCTCAGCCTTCTGAGTGGTGGGATTACTGATGTCTGCCACCATGCCTGGTCTGCTATTCTTTTCTGTGGCACTTGTGTAACTTGTTTATTCTCTAGTAGAAAAAAATGCAATTTTTTTGTAACTACATCTCTGTGCAAAACATAATAATGCAGGTTCCTGTCTGATGAAAAACAGAGATACATATTTTAGTGGAACTGCTGAATAGCTAAGCATTTAATAGACCGATGTATCATGTAAATTCAAAATAATACCATATAATCCACTGACATGGAAAAAGTTAGAGTTCTTACCCATACATTAAAAAGTATATGACACAGTTTAATGTGTCTGATTAATTAATGTGAAAAAATTAACATGAAAAAAACTGATATTTAAATAGAATTTATTCAGAGATACAAGTAAATATAGTGATGTCATGGTATAATGTAAAAAGCTTTTAACTGAAAAAAAGCACTCTGACATCAAAGACTTTTGCAGCTGATAAGTTCATGCCTGTGGAAGACAGCAGAAATTCTGAGTCCTAAACAGAAAAAAGAATTTTCAAATATAACATAGTTAGAAGTACCATTCAGAGTGTAGAAGGTCAATTTGAGAACACTCAGGGTGAATTATTTTAGAAATTAAAGTATTTTTGCAGTCTATTGCAGTGCATATGTAAATAATAACACCCAATAAGCCACAATGTTCATGCTCTAAATGAGAATTTGGATGGGACTGAAGTATTTTGAGGCAGGTGCCATGACAAGAACCACTTCAGCACATTATGCATGAGAAAAATTCTAAAGAGTTAAGTGTAACAGTTTAATTGATGACTATAAAGAAAATTATTGCTCCTGTAACCCCATTAGAACTCAGGCAGCAGTGTTTTACAGGGATGGATTTTACATCTATTTCTTATCATCTGCAAGTGTTATGGTTTATATCTGGATGTCCCCACGCAGCCCCATGTGCTCTTTTAGGATAAAATGGATTGGATCTTGAGGGCAAGATACTCACCAGTGGATTAGTCCACTGATGACTTTAGAGCTAAATGCAATGTCGGAAAAGTGAAGCCTGATCTGAGGAGGTAAGGCAGTGTGAAGCTTGGCCTTGAAGAATCCATTAATTCTTCAAGGACCAATTCTTCTCCCTCTTTTCTCCCGTGATCTCTTTCTTTCTCTCTGCTTCCTATCATGTCGTGAGCAACCCTCCTCAATGATGCACCTCTCCCCTGCTGCCCTGCCCTGGAGCCAGCATCTATGAACTGAAACATCTACAAACTGTGAGCCAAAATAAGACTTTCCTCCTTTAAACTGCAAGAATCTACCTACTTTCTCATTGCAGAGACAGCAAAGTATCCCTAAATTTAAAATGTTAAAGACAAAATACATCACAAACCTACTAGTTCAGAATTTCCTATACAAAGGCTCCTATACCTTGAACCACAGATATGTGTATCTTATGCATGTGAACTGGAGGTCTGGTGATCAGCCTACTATGCTTCAAAGAGACTAGTAGCTTTGGTATGACCTGTTGCTAAAGTGCATGTACACTTACACACACACACACAAACACACACACACACACAGGATTGAAAATAATTGTTTGTTCATGAAATAAAATTATTATCCACTATCAGTGAAGACTGAATTTCATTTTTGGGGTTGACATTTTAACTATCAAAACTGTTTACATATCTTCAATATTTTTCACTAGTTACACACATCTATCATTGGAATACCTCACTCTTAGGGAAATTATAGTTTTGGAAAATTAAAATAGACCAGAATTTTTGGCTCCTTTTCCTATGCTAAGAGGGTTCTATAAACATCCAAAGATGGCCTAAATACATTTCCCCAAATTCTGTATTTAAAGAAGGATTTCCATTAAAAAAATAAAAAGATATAGATTCATGAAGGATTACAAAGAAATTGCTGCCAAATCACTATGCCAGGCAGTTTGATAATCAAAGTATGATGACACTGAAAAGCAGAATTTGACAAATTACACATTTGTTTGTGGTACTGGGGATTTTACCTTTCACAATGAGATGCAGCCTAAGCTCATTTTTATTTTTCATTTTGAGAAGGAATCTTGCTAAACTGCTAAATTCCCCATGGTGTGCTTGAACTTCTGATCCTCCTGCCTCAACCTCCCAGAATACTGGGATTAGACGGTTTCACAGCATACCTGGCTGACAAAATATGCAATGATTTTAACAAATCTGTATGTGATGATATATATTTGAAAATTCTTTTTTTTTTCAAGTAAAATTCTTGCATTTGAGAACATTTATTGTCCATCATAAACTGAAGAAAACTAGATTTTGCCTGGAATTTAAAGGTGCATTGTGGAGACCATGGATTGAGTAAGTACCTGCCTAGCAAACACCGGGTCATGAGTTTGATCCCCAACACCAAAAACAAATAAATAAATAAATAAAGGTGCAGTTGTGACAGTATGCAAAACCTAATGTTGATACTAAAACATGAAAACATGAAACACTTTTGGGGTACAAACCAAAGGAGTAATGAACTATAAAGTTAATTGTAGAAATGAAGCTTATCTAATATTTATTATATTTGCTTCAAGTTGAACAAAAAGTAAAAACATTTGATATTATATTTGTATCTTATACAACATATTTTAACATGTTTCTAGTGATTGATTTTCCCCAATCATCCAGTTTTTCTCATTTACAGTATTTGGCTGGCTGAACTCTAAAGAAATGAGACATGACCAATTTCAAACATGTTATTATAATGTAAAAATATACAATCTTTTAATTTTACTACTTAAAAAAGAATCAGGCAAATTTCCATTTAAAATTTAAATTTCTATTTAATTCTATTTAATAATTTTAATATGTCACTTTATAGAGATACCT